CGGCCGCCGCATCTCTCCTCACTCCACAGCCGTCGCTATCTCCTTTACCTCCTCACCCCTCCGCCGTCATTACCCCTCCTCTTCCTCCCCCACCGCCGTCGCATCAACCTTTACTCTTATCCTCCGCCGCCTCCCAATCCGCATGCTTACTATCAGCAGCCGTCACACTATCCTCAATTCAACCAGCATCAAGCTCCTCCGCATCCTCCTCCCACTTCTCCTCCTCCTCCTCCCCCTCCCCCCTCAGCTCCTCCTCCTCCTCCTCCTCTCGTACCCGATCCTCCTCGAAACCAAGCCCCCAATGACCGCGACAAAGGGGCCTCCAAGCCGATTTCTGCACCTGGAAGGCGCGACCGTGCTCATGGAGTTCCATCGAAGCACCACAGGCCCCATATTAGGAACCCCGGTGTCAAAATCGAGACCGAAGAAGAGAGGAGGCTAAGGAAGAAGAGGGAGCTCGAGAAACAAAGGCAAGAAGAGAAGCTTAGACAGCAGATGAAAAGTTCTCACAAGTCTCAAATGCCCAAGGGACACGCCTCCGTTGTTGGATCTCGCGCGGAGGAGAGGAAGCCTACGCCTCTACTGACCACCGACAGGGTCGAGAATAGGTTAAAGAAACCAACCACCTTCATCTGCAAGCTCAAGTCAGTTTCCTTCCCCCTTTCTTTCTTTCTTTCTTTCTTGCTCTTTTACACTTTCTTTATGTAGCTGATTGATTATCTTCTTCCCAGGTTCCGGAATGAGCTCCCTGACCCAACCGCACAGCTCAAGCTTATGACCATTAAGCCAGATAAAGATCAGTATGTTTTTTTATTTCATTTATCTTTATCCCTAATACATTTGTCTTCTTCTCCTTTCCTTCTTCTTGATACTATCCCTTTGATCCCACTAGATATACAAAGTATACCATCACGTCGCTGGAGAAGTTATGGAAACCAAAAATCTTTGTCGAGCCTGATCTTGGAATACCCTTGGATCTCCTTGACTTAAGTGTATACAAGTAAGTCTCCAAAAACCGAAAACAATGTTCATAAAATGCGAGACCTCATCTGCTGGGATATTTACTGTTGCAGCCCACCCAAATTCAAGGCACCTCTCGCCCCTGAAGATGAAGAACTATTGCGTGATGATGATGCTGTTACACCTATTAAGAAAGATGGCATCAGGAGAAAAGAAAGACCAACTGATAAAGGTGTTTCCTGGCTCGTGAAAACACAGTACATTTCTTCAATCAATAATGAATCGGCAAGACAGGTATCAGTCTCCGTTGTTGGAAAATTCTTTTATGTTGTAAAGACAGTTTCAAACCTTCTATCTTCTCCATGTTTAGTCTCTAACTGAGAAACAAGCAAAGGAACTGCGAGAGATGAAAGGAGGCATCAACATCTTGCAAAATCTTAACAATAGGTGTGATGTTTCTCTAATTTGTGTTTTTCTATAGAAAGTGAAACAAAAAACAATTCAAAATGGTCTAATGGTTTCTGTATCTTGGTCTCTAGAGAGAGACAGATCAAGGATATTGAAGCATCCTTCGAGGCCTGCAAATCTCGACCAGTTCATGCCACCAATAAAAACTTGCACCCAGTTGAAGTTTTACCACTACTGCCACATTTTGATAGGTTGGATCCTCCTTATTTTCCCTTTCAGCCAAACTTAAATCTAACATAATAGCTCTGCCATTAGATACGATTGTAAAGCGGCCCCTGCTGCATTTGTAAATAACTAGGACACTTTGGAGTTTATGTCTATGTTGGCATTTGGTGAGGGATCATCTGTTGTGGTAAACATGCAGGTATAGCTTTCCAATTGCTATAGGATAGTCTAATCAATGGATGGAAAAGCCAGCCTTGTTGAGGTGTAACTATATAGTACCTAAGAGGGATGTTGATCCTGATTTTTCCCTGCTCCATGTCTTGTTCCAATGTTTCTTTGCTAGACTTTTAGTGGATGAAAAAAAGCCAGTAATGGTTTTCACTGAACTCGTAGCATATGCTAATCTAGTTGACTCTTCCTTTTAATATTTGACTCAGGTACGATGAGCAGTTTGTGGTAGCGAATTTTGATAGTGCTCCTACAGCTGATTCTGAATCCTTTGGCAAGTTGAAGCCTTCAATTCGTGATGAATATGAGTCACGGGTGAGTTTTGTGCTGTCTATATCTCTGAGCTTGGTCCAAATATTTCTTTTCTCTTACAGTGGAATAATTTTTTTTGTCGAGGTGAATGTGAAAACCATATCACTTTCAATATTGCCTACATTAGTGCTCTCGAACTAGGATGGGATGGGAGTTATAGGGCTGAATCATAAACATTTTTTGATTGCCTTGAACTAGTTTTTATATAACTATCACAGAAATTAACCCTTTTTTTCCTCATAATCGATGGCGAGCTCTGACCTCATCCTTGACAGGCCATTTTGAAAAGCTATGTGGTGGCTGGATCAGACACTGGCAATCCAGAAAAATTTCTGGCGTACATGGTTCCTTCCTTGGATGAGGTAGACATGCGACTCCTGGAGTCGATCTCTGTAAACAAGTCTTGACACGTGAAGAATTGGATTGAGTATTGATGTTTGTTGTGGCAGTTGTCAAAGGATATGCATGATGAAAACGAGGATATCTCGTACACTTGGGTTCGGGAATACCACTGGGATGTATGTACCTTAGCCGATGTGATTTGGAATAAAATTTTATTGTTAGTGTTGCCGGTCGAAATAAAATATGCCACCTCATGTTATAACAGGTAGGTGGTGATGATGCAAACGATCGTGGCACATACCTGGTGTCGTTCGACGATGGGACAGCTAGCTATCTGGTATGCCCTAAACTATACCTGGATCTGTTTTATTTTTGGTTGTTTGTTACATAATTCCAGAGTTCCCATCTGTAATACTATGGGGTGACCCCTGAGCATGTTGCAGCCCCTAGTCACAAAGCTCAACCTGAGGAAGAGAAGGGCCAGGGAAGGAAGATCTTCTGATGAGATTGAACATTTTGCGGTACCTTCAAGGGTGACTGTAAGGCGCAGATCGGCTGTTTCAGTGATAGAACATAAAGATTCAGGGGTATAGTAAAAATTCATATCTCATACGGTTTAACAGCAAGAAAATGTGGAAAGCTGTAATTTGTCTTTGCCAATTTCTTTGGACTTTGGATGTAGGTTTATTCAAATTCTAGGGTTGGTGCTTCGAGCTCCAAGATGAGAAGGTTAGAGGACGAAGAAGGCCTTGGTAGATCTTGGAAACACGAGGCGGAGCCAGATGCCAATCAATATAGTGATGATGGTAACGAGGATGATTATTCTGAATGAACGTGTGCCCTTTTTTATTTAATGTTTTATCATCATTGTGAATCTCCCAATTGTGTCTGATTCACAAAGAGTTGTATAATTGTGACGCTCAAACTTCACATAACTGTCAAGTAAAGTCAGATTTCATCCATGTTATATCCCTAATTGAAATACAAGTGCGGGTAACAACTAGGTGAGTTTATTCGAGATTCAGTTTCCAAAAAAAGAAGAAGAAATTAGAGCGCCATATTTCGCAACAGATTCAATCTAGTTTTATATGTTCTGTAATTCTTTTTTTTAGTAAATGATTAAATACATATTTCCGAGGATTCATTAAAAAATTATTGAATTACTATTATCGAGGTTTCTTAACTACATACGTCAGTATTAAACTTGGATATTTCCCAAAAATTGTAAGAAACTCGCCGGCTTTGCTCATAGATAAAATACTTTGCACCAAAATAAAGATAAATGATTAAATTATATTAGAGAGTTTAAGAATCGATTAAAGCCTGCTCCATTCGATTTATCAAAGACCCAAAGCGATCGCGAGAGGAGTCTAGCAAGGGTTTTCTTGTCCTGATTTTCGTTTGATATTTATCGGTGATTATTAGGGCTTTTGGTTCTTCAAATCTGTTCGTCGTAGGGTTTGGCTTAGGAGGTTGATTCGAGGATTATGGCCCCAGAAGAGGCGGAGTATGAGAGTGATCCCGAGGAATTGAAGCGCTCCTTGGCTACCAGGAGAAGAGAAGCAAGCGATGATGAGGATGAAGGGGTTAAGGATGCGGATGCGAAGCGGGGAGGAAATCAGAGACCCGAGATTGATTCCGATGAACAGAGTGGTGGTATTCTTGATGATGAAGGCGAGGAAGGCTTGCACATAGAGGGCGATAGTTATGATGAAGAAGAGGAGGATGAGGAAGAGGATTATGGAGACGATTTGGAATACATAGCGGATAATGACAATGGCAAGCCAGTGGACTCTCAGCCTAAGGGAGTGATTGAGGACTCTGCCACAGATGTTGTGGAACAAAAGCCCAAGGAACCTTTTGCAGTGCCAACTGCTGGAGCATTTTACATGCACGATGACAGATTTCAGGAATTGGATGCCGCCTCAAATAGGTCAACTGAAACTCTCTTTGATTAACTCTTTATGGTCCAGGCTCTGGATTTGTGTACATACTAGTTGGTTATTGACTGATTTGGTGAAGTTAACAATTAACTTTCTTGCCATGCCATTTTATTTTATCATGTTGTTCAGATAGATTGAAACAACTGCTTTTGGTTTGCTAATCATAGGTTTTAACTTAGATTGTGAATCCTCCTAATATCTGAATCTGGCCTGGATGCCTGCAGAATCATTCAACCTTCTGTTTTGTGTCTCTGCACGCGAGTTACATCGTAATGTCAATTGATATAGGTTTTGATAATGTCTTGCGTAGGCGAATGCGTGGTGGCAGGAGGCTCTGGCAATCTAGAGATGAAAGAAAATGGGGACATGACAAATATGAGGAGATGAATACACAGGAAAAGCAATATGATGTACTGATTTTTAAATCCCCTCTCTGTATCCTCTCCATAAATACATCCGTATTTGTTTATATATATATATATATATATATATATATGCTTCCTCCTTTACAGATTTTTTCACCTCTCTTTTCTTCCCTTCTTAATTAAAAGCTGATCAATAAAACTTTGTGAGCATAGCGGAGGACTTCGAGAGGGCGAGTCAGAGGTCGTGGTCTTGGTAGGGGTCAGGAGCGTGGATATTCTCGAGGGAGCAATTCTAAAGCGTTTACCAGCAACGGACACCAAAATCAGTTTCCTAAGGCTGTCTCCAGAGGTAGAGGGCCCCGAAGATATGAGGTTGCCTTGAGAAATGGCAATCAAGCACCTTCTGTGCAAACCAAACAGTAAGTCCTTAATTTTTGTTTTCTCTCTAGTACATACGAAGGCTTTTATTTCTAATTTTAGTGTCTTGTCCATTGAATCTATAGGTCCCAGAATTCTTTTGAGAAAGTGTCACACGTGGATTCAGGGCGTGCACCAACAGAAACAGCTAGTACAGAGACTGATGCCATCCAAGCCAAAAAGAATGTAGTTGCTTCAAGCTTAAATTCAGCTTCTCCTCCATTCTATCCTTCTGGATCCTCCAAGAACTTGGCACAAAAGGATTTACGAGCTGGCATGGGAAGACTGCACATTAATGCAAACCCTACTCCCACTGGGAAGAAGTTTGGGCATACTAAATCCAGCCCCACGTGGGTACGCACTGCCCAACCTTCTCAGGCTACAAGTCAAGGTAGAGGTGCACCTCCTCCTGGGCAAGCGCTTTACCAGCAATCTCTTAATCATGGTGACAAAGTTTCCTCGCCGATGCAAATCCGGGGAATGCCAAAAGCCACCGACCAAAGCTGTACTCAACCTCCTGGTCAGGCTTTTGATCAACATTCGGCTGTTATTAGTTCGCTGTCTTCTTCTCCACCGAAAACCAGCTCATTGAAAAATCAATATCTTTTTGGGGAAACAGATTCAACCACGGAATCAGGTGCCCTGGTTGCCAAGGGAAAAGGGTCTCTCCAGCATAGTGGAAGGGGATCTTTTATGTTTGGAGGGACCCAATTTATGGGGCCAGCTGGGAGCATGTCAGCTGGTCATGGCAATCCAAATTTCCCTGCTTTTCTGCCTGGTAATTTGTTTTGAATGTAGCTGTTGACATTGGAATGGTTGAAATACATTTTCCAGAATTAATTTATCCATACAATGATCCTGGGTTGCTTGGCCTGGTTGCCCATGTCTAGGGCGGCTTGTTATCACCGTCTGCTGTATATGCATGTCTGGTTGGTTTTACAAAAAAAAATCATGTTTTGTAATGGTCATTTCTATGTACAGTTATGCAATTCGGTGGTCAGCATGGTGGTGTTCCAAGCTCTGGAATGGCTCTTCCAGGATATGTCCATGGAATGGCTCTTCCAGGATATGTCCAACCAGAACATGGTACAGGAAATCCTGAGATGACATGGTATGCTGTTCTTCCTTTTCGATGTACCATATTTGTGGATGTTAGTTTTGAGTTTCCTTAGCTTTACATTTTTTGACAAATTATATATTCCATGTGTTGTTGGTTGACTTGCTGTATGCTTTCGTGATTTGAGATGATTTTACATATTAGTAGTCTTTTTCTTGCTTAAACAGCACCAGAATTGTTGCTTTCATCTATCTGCTGCTTGTTGTTTGTTTGATTTCCATAGCTCTCTGTTTCTGATTACTGCTATTATATTATTGGCAGGTTGCCTATTTTGACTGGCCCGGGAGCATTAGGGGCTTCGTATTCACCTTATGCCGCCATCGATGGTTCATACCAAGCACACAAACCAGGGTTACCTTCCTCTGCGGGATCCTCCAGGTTTATAAGATAGTTCTCTTCATTTTCTCAGTATTGTTAATCAACATTTCTGTATGCTAAAGTGTTGACTCTTACCTTTATCCTAAAGGAAGTGTGCAGTAGGGCAATCTAGCTTTAACTAAAGCAACCGTATGTGGATTTTATATTTGTGATTTCTCTTATTCTTTGCTCATTGCAATATGCTTGTTACTCATTAGATTTGCATATCTAAAGTGTTTAATTAGTAGCATATCTTCTATGTACAGCCAGAAGCATGTAGCGTTCATTAACCAGTCAAACTTTCTTGGTTGGGCACTCATGCAACCATGTCAATCTTCTCTGATTGTGAGTGTTAAGCGAAACATTTAATTTAGGCTCACTTACACAAACTATCTTCTTTTTTTGCAGCCAAGAAAACAGTTCGAGTAACCCTAATGATGAAGAGAAACCAGTGGAGAGACTTGGTAAGTCATTTTCTTCCCATTCTGGTCTGAGACCAGTGATTTGCCATCTGATGCCTGCGGGATTTTGTTTATTTACTCTGATATGATAGGTAACTAGTACAAGGAGATTTATATGTCCTATATGGTTCCTCAAGTATAGTGTATCTAAGTCGTAACGCTTGACAGTTAAACAGGGCCTATATTATGGATTCAAAAGATTTAGTTATGTTTTGGGGAATTTGAATTTGAATTATTACGTTGACCAAATGAAAGAGAGGAGTATCAATACCATGGAAGATTGATTGTTTGGGTCGTTATGTTTGAGGTTAAAATATTTTTCTTTTTTGATGTAGAGGTTACAAACAATGGAAATTCACAACGGTTGAACAGCAACCGAAACAAGCAGCCTCGTAGGTGAGTTTTGAAGCTATCTTATAACTGTGTGGTTTAAATTGATCTTACTTCTGACATGGAACAACCCTGAATTAGAGTGGAGAGGTAGTCATATTTATAGCGGATGAAATCAGACGCTAATGCCTTATATGGGATGCAGATACTCGGAGATGAGCTTAAGCAAGTGAATGCACTTGTAAATGAAGGTCCTCTTGAATGATGCTTCTCCAAGCTGCTTTACGGAGCACTTTGGGCTGCTATTGTTGCCCGTTTTTAATAGGTCGTTTAAGTTGCCGATTTAAGATATTTGAAGTGTAAAGTCAAGTTGAGTAATTGCGGTTTCTAAAATGAGCATGTGTGGATTTGAATATTTTCAGGAGGTAGGTGTTGTGCCTTTGTGAGCTTGAGCTGTGGCTTCCTTCATCTGTGTAATCTTTTTTTTTTTTGGTCCTTTTTGCTTCCTCTTTTTGTAATGTTTGTGATTTACTTTTGAGTTTCCATCCTCCTATCTCTAATTAAAGGTTTTGTACCCGAAAGTCCCAACTTCACAATTTGCCCATTTTGAGTGTTTTATTTATTTATTTATTATTATTAATTTGTCTATTTAATGAATTCGCTTCTTCGATTTCAAAAATTAGGAGCCGATTATTACCAACGAACTAAAACGTAGGCGAGTACAATGCGACTTGAAAGTGTAGAGGAGACGTCCTTTTTAAAACCATACTAGATTCTAATCCCGTGTATCATATTGAAATATTTTTTATTTTTTAACGAATTTTGTAATATAATTTTTGTTTTTGAGTTTAAATATAATTATTTTTATAAATATATTGTTTTAATAAGTGAAAATATTGATTTTTATGTTTATATATATTTTTATAGTATTAAAATTAATTATGATTATAAAAATATAATTTTAACCCGTCCGCTAATATTAATTCAAAATAAACTATTATAAAAACATAATTTTACCTAAATTTGTAAACAAATCATAATCGTAAATATATTATATAAGCAACATAAATATCATATCATTTATATCATTATAAATATTTTATATTTCAAATATGACCATTATTTTTCATATGTGAATTATGTTTTTTTCAAAAATTCTAGATATTTTTGATAAAAATGTTTAATAGTATATAAAAATTATTTAAATTAGAATTTTTAAATCAAATCTAAATTAATATCTGATTTATTATTTTTAATGAAATTAAATCTAATTACCTATATTTAAGGAACTTTAAAAATATTTAAATTAATAACTAATTTTTGAAATTAAATATAAATAACTATTAAAATTATTTTTAAACACTTAAAAAAAATTAGGGATGTTTGGAAGCAAGTACTAAATGTGCTTCTGTTATAATATAATAGATAATATGAGAAAACGATTTCTATTTTCGGTCATACAAACGGATCATTAACAGGGTTTAATGAGTCGAATATGAACAATAAACTAGGCCATTAATGGGTCACTACAGGTCACTAATGGGCCGGTAATGAGCCGTTGAAAAGCCCAAAAAGAGTCATTAATTGGCCACTGATGGATCGGTAATGGCCCACGGAAAGACCGTTAATGGGCCATTGAAGAATCAGTAATGGCCTTCAATAATGGGCCACTGAAGGATCGGCAAAGGGCCACGAAAGGACCATTAATGGGCCACTGAAGTATCGGAAATGGGCCATTGAAGGATCTCTAATGGGCTATTATGGGCCATTGAAAGATCGTTAATAGGTCATTAATGGGCCGAGAAGGATCGCTAATGAGTCATTTAATGGGCCATTGAAGGATTGGTAATGGACTATTAATAGTTCACTAAAGAATTGGTAATGGGCCACTAAAGGATCGGTAATGGGCCACGAAATGATCATTAATGGGCTACTGAAAGATCAGTAATGGGACTTCAATAATGGGTCACTGAAGAATCGCTAAAGGGCCATAAAAGGACCATTAATGGGTCATTGAAGGATCGGTAATGAGCAATTGAAGGATTGTTAAGGGCCATTAATAGGCCAAAAAGGATCGCTAATGGGCCATTAATGAGTCAATGAAGGATTGGTAATGGGCCATTAATGGCTATTTAAGGATTTGTAATGGGCCACTGAAGGATCCGTAATGGGCCACTGAAGGATCCGTAATGGGCCACGAAATGACCATTAATGGGGCATTGAAGGATTAGTAATAGGCCTTCAATAATGGGTCACTGAAGGATCGGTAAAAAGCCGCGAAATGACCATTAATGGGCCATTGAAGGATCGCTAATGGGCCATTAATGGGCCAAAAAGAATTGGTAATGGGCCATTAATGGGCCGTTGAATGATCGGTAGTGGGCCATTAATGGGCCATTTAAGGTTCGCTAATGGGCCATTTAATGAGCCATTAAGGATCGGTAATGGGCCATTGAAGGATCGGTAATGGGCCGTTAATGGGTCACTGAAAGATTGGTAATGGGCCACTGAAGGATCGGCAATGTGCCACGAAATGACTATGAATGGGCCATTGAAAGATCAGTAATTGGCCTTCAATGATGGGCCACTGAAGGATCGGTAGAGGGCCACGAAAGGACCATTAATGGACCATTGAAGGATCGGTATTAGGCCTTTGAAGGATCAGTAATGGGCCATTCAGGATCCATCGAAGGATCGGTAATGGATCATTAATAGGCCATTAAAGTTGTGTGTTTTAATTCTTTTGCCTGGCACTTGCACGATTTGTTGGGTGAAAAAAGAGGAGGGGGCAAAGTGTGAAAGAGTTGCAGGCGACGAACGATGATCGGCGATAGCGTCTACTCACCGCCCGACCAGAGCTCTAATCTCTGCATCACGGTCACTTCCTTTCTCTACTGCCTCTAGACTATCTCTTGCTTCCGGAACTTAATAGGATTCGCTCTTGGCTGCGTCAGATTTAGAGATTGATAAGCTTTGCATAATGGTCGGGGACAAGGTTGATTTTTGCTGGTCTTGTAATTGAGTCTGGTCAGGCTTTTGATTTTCAGATGGAAGAGCGGTCTCAGTGCAGCGAGCACGCAGAGGACCTTGACCCTACTGACCTGGAAAACGACCTTGACCTTGATAATGATTGTCGAGGATTGCTTGAAATCGCAAGTAACAGAGAAACTCCTTTTGCTGCCGACTGTGAGAGTAATGAGGAATCCCAGTCCCAGCCCAAGTGTTTGATGCCTCCTGCGACAGGAATGGAGTTCGAGTCGTACGATGATGCTTACAGTTACTACAACTCCTACGCAAGGGAGCTCGGTTTTGCCATCAGGGTTAAATCTTCCTGGACTAAGCGTAACAGCAAGGAGAAACGCGGTGCTGTTTTGTGCTGCAACTGTGAAGGTTTCAAGATGGTTAAAGAAGCAAACACCCGCAGGAAGGAGACCAGAACGGGTTGCCAGGCTATGATACGCCTAAGACTCATTGACTTTGATCGATGGAAAGTTGATGAAGTCAAGCTCCTCCACAACCACTCTTTCGATCCTGAGAGAGCTCACAACTCCAAGTCTCACAAGAAGACCTCTACCAAAAGGAAACCAGAACCCCCTGTCGACGTTCAAGTCCGGACCATCAAATTGTATAAAACCCCTGCCATTGACACACCAAACTCTAGCGGGGAGACGAGCCACCGCAACCATGATCACCTCCATTGCTCAAGGCGTTTGGAGATCAGAGGAGCCTTTAGTGCCTTGCAGGATTTCTTCTTCCGGATTCAGCTTACCAACCCCAACTTTCTTTACTTGATGGATCTCGGCGATGACGGGAGTCTGAGGAATGTGTTCTGGATTGACCCTCGAGCTAGGGCTGCATACTCTCACTTTGCCGATGTAGTTGTGTTTGACACAACATGTTTATCAGATACATACGAGCTTCCCCTTGTTGCATTTGTTGGAATAAACCACCATGGAGATTCGATTTTACTGGGCTGTGGTTTGGTTGCTGACCAGAGCTATGAGACCTACGTCTGGCTCTTCAGAGCGTGGCTAACGTGCATGTTAGGCCGTCCACCCCAGACCTTCATCACAGAGCAGTGCAAGGCAATGCAGAGTGCAGTCTCTGAAGTTTTTCCAAGGGCTCATCATCGGCTTAGCTTGACCCACGTCTTGCAAAGCATCTTTCGGAGCGTTGTCGGACTACAAGATTCTGAGGCCTTCCGTCTGGCACTGAACAGAGTCGTCTACAGTTTTCTCAAGGTCGAAGAATTCGAAGTAGCTTGGGAAGAGATGATCCTTCGGTTTGGGCTGACAAATCACGAGACGATCCAGCGCTTGTTTCAAGATCGAGAACAATGGGCTCCAGTTTACCTCAAAGATACATTTTTGGCTGGGGAGCTGATTTTTCGAATGGGAAATGCGGCAGCCCCGTTCATCTTCAGTGGCTACGTTCACCGGGGCACATCCCTGACAGAATTCCTTCAAGGGTACGAATCTTTTCTGGATACAAATTACACAAGTGAAGCCTTGCGTGATTCAGAGTCCTCAAAGTTAATCCCTGAGCTCAAAACAGCGCACCCGTACGAGTCTCAGATGGCAAAGGTGTTCACAAAGGAGATATTTAAAAGGTTCCAAGAGGAGGTCTCGGCAATGTCTTTATGTTTCGGAGTAACGCAGGTCCACTCAAACGGGCCAGCCTCCTCGTATGTGGTGAAAGAGCGGGATGGAGAGAAGGTGAGAGAATTTGAGGTCATCTACGAGACAAGTGCAGCAGCACAAGTACGTTGCTTCTGTGTCTGTGGTGGTTTCAGCTTCAATGGGTACCTGTGCAGACACGTCCTCCTTCTACTCAGCCAGAATGGCTTGGAGGAAGTCCCGTCTCAGTATATACTGCAACGGTGGCGCAAGGATGTGAACCGTCTCTATGTGGCTGATTTCGGGTCAGGCAGTGTGGACATAATAAATCCGGTTCAATGGTGTGAGCATTTGCACAGAAGAGCAATGCAGGTTGTTGAACAAGGGTTGAGATCGAAAGAGCACTGCGCAGTTGCCTTGGAAGCTTTTAAAGAGAGTGTGAATAAGGTTAACCTTTTGACAACAGAGTAGCCTTCTTAGACGGCTTACTGCTGTTCTGTCTTCTGTACGACCTGACTGGAATCTAATGTATTAATAATCTTTAAGCAGCCTTCTTATAATTACTGTCCGTAACTCTTGTTCATTACTCGGTACTAGACCATGCCTTTCTTACTGGTGAAACTAACAAAATAGTTTTTAAAGTCAGAACAAAAACACAACATACAATTCCTTGTTTTTTTTTAACCAAAACACAAAACCAACTCGAAAAACCGGTTGTATTTGTACTAATACTGTATAAGGAGTAGGTGTACGTAGACCAGAATCTGTGCATCATCAAATCAAAATTACTTCATTATTGTCATTTACCAAACTGAACGGAAAAAAGGGGGAAAAAAGAGTTTTTTTTTTTTTTGCAAAAGACCCTCAGATTAACAAATGAAACAATGAACATTTCCACATTGCTACCACGAATGCAGCGGAGAAAACAGGCCATGTTAGTTGAAGATGGATCTCTAAAGGTTATCTCTCAGCCACTTCAGAGCTCCATTCGCGACCGACCTACAAAAAAGAGTATCATATCTTTGTGTTGCGAAGATGACATTATGTGCTTAGATTTAAGAACTCAAAAAAAGCTGACAATTCACACTACTATATAATTTCAAAAGAATCGAAATCAAGTGCCCAGTCTCTTTTATTGATTTACCCTGCAAAATCTTTGATGTTCTTCCACAAGTCGTTTTCTTGCTCCGGTTCTTGGTTTTTCTCCGTAGCTTCATTTGTCCTGTTTTCTGAGCTACTGGCTGCACTGTATAGACCTGCAAAACCAATGTCGGCATACAGATGAGGGGATCCATCAACGTCTACGTATATCAAATAGTCTCACATCGATGCAAAGGCATACAAGATTACAAGAGGATCCGTCAATATTGATCTAGAAACTAAGAGTCCTATGCACTGCACATCTTCCTGGGATCAAGAAATTGACAACTTACTAGTGGATTGCTGAGGCTTAGCACGAGTTCGTTGCCGGTTGCTAGATGTATCACTCAGAGAAGAAAGTTCCTCCAGCAACTCCCGCTCTCCAGCACTGTTCGTAGTATCCAGAAAACGAATTAAAAGGAAGGCATGAACAGACTCACAAACTTCTACTTTAGTTGAATTGCCCCCAAGACATGTTTAGACGGTAATACCTAATTTGATTTGGTATAGTAACTTTGACAGTAAACAAGTGGTCACCGCGGATGGACGGTCTATTCAGTTTTGGTGCACCTTTCTTTGCCAGGACCAGCACATCACCAGGTTGAGTACCCGGAGGTATCTGCAGTTCAGTGTCTCCTTCAACAGTTTTCACCTAAAACGATGTGTTATATTAATAATAAGGTGAATGATCAATTTGAGGATATCTACACATGTACTTATTGGATGTCTTATACAAACAACTATATTACCTTAACAGTCGTACCCAATATAGCATCAAGGTAACTGATCGAAAGGGTAGATAAAAGGTTTATCCCATCCCTTTGAATTCCCCGGACATCTTCAACATCAAGATATACATATAAATCTCCTGGAGGTCCACTAATGGAAGCAGAAAGCCAATTATCAAAATTCAGAACCATGAAGATTGCCATAGAAGAATCTAACTGGTAATCAACAAGCGGTAGTCTTCTCTACATACCCTCTGGGACCAGAATCACCTTCCCCGGCAACTCTAAGGATGCTGCCTGCGCTAACTCCAGGAGGAATTTTTAATTTGATGCTTTTTTTTATACGCACACGTCCTTCTCCAGAGCATTTCCGGCAATTTTCAGAAATTACTTCACCATCTCCACCACAATTTGGACATACAGAAACCTAATATGAAAGAGATCACGCATATAGGAAACTATTAATAAGGAGGTTACCATCAAAAACAAACATTCACAATCAATGAAAACCACAAACTGGATTCAACCAAATTCCGAGGGAGTTCTCACTTCTGCACTCTCTACGAACCATGAAACAGACATTTTGAGTGAATTGTATATTGACATGTCTGAACTCCAATCAGATGCTATTTCTGATTTCAGACACGAATTAACTACAACAGAAAGAAAAGAAAGAAAATGAACTGTAAGGACCTGTGAAAACAACCCGAATGGTGTTTGCTCAGTTCTCATAACTTGACCCCGCCCACCACAAGTAGAGCATATTCTCATCTTGGATCCTGCTTTTGCCCCGGTGCCAGCACAAGCTTCGCATGTCTCCAGATGCGTAAGATCAAATTCTTTCTCAGATCCAAAAATGGCCTCTGACAGTTCTAACGTGATGTCATAACTAAAACGAAATAGAAGCAAGAATATAATTTGATCACTTTCGGAGTTTTCCAAGGTAAGGCAGGTAATGAAGAGCAAGGAAAAACTCCCATACAAAAGAGAAAAAGCGAATGCACGTGCAGACACAAACTCACCGCAAATCTTCCCCTTTGGTAGCCCTACTGCGGCGGGTTCTCCCAAAATCAGCTTGGTCCATCCCGGGAAATCCACCCATACTCGCACCAAAGAATGTCTCAAAGAGGTCAAAGGGATTTGTCTGCTTAGAAATATAAGAGAAGGTACATGTCAAAGACAAGTACTCGCACAAGCAGAGGAGCTGATGTCAATGCACATCTCTCAAATCAGGATTCAACAACCAATGAATCAGCAAGAGAAGAAACGCAATAGTCGTGCCTAAGCTAAGCCAGTCATGCGCATGATTAAGCATAGACAGAAACAGAAATGCCTTATAGATAATATGTTACCGTGTAAGTACCAGAAGCTCCTCCTACTGGACTCTTGATTCCGGCTTCACCATATTGATCATATAATGCTCTCTTTTGCTCATCTGATAGCACCTGACAGTTTTGTAGTTCAGTAACCACAAGGAAAAATAAGCTGAGAAGTCGTGTTACACGTTACATATACCAACTCTATTCTAGCAGCAAATCTTGTAAAAAAAAGCCGTATATAAATAGAAAAATGTGGGCGCAAGCTAACAAGTAAAACCCAAATGTAGTCTTAGTTCAGGAAAACAAGCCATGAAGAGAATCGAACTGGAGACCTTAGCTTTTGGTGCATACCTCATAGGCAGCACTGATTTCCTTGAACTTATCGGTTGCTCCAGGTTCCTTGTTCACATCGGGATGGTACTAAATAGGAAGTTGATAATAATCAGTTCCTAAGTTACAAGGCCATAGCTCAATAAACTAGAAACAAAGTAGAAAACTAAAGCACAGCTTAATGGTGTGTAGATTTAAAGTAGTCTAAATATATAAAAAAATATCAGAAGTGAGGACTCAGAACATAGTCTCAGGATGCATAATAAGTTGAATGATCGGGTTTCCACATTACTCCAATCGGGAAATTAATAAGATACCTGACGAGCCAGGCGTCGATACGCTGCTTTGATCTCCTTGCTATTAGCAGATTTAGGCACACCGAGAGTAGCGTAGTAGTCTCCGGAAGCAGCAAACACGACGACGGAACGGCGAGAGAATCCCCGTCGATTTCGATAAGGCGAAGAAGATGAAACGGATAAAAAGCTCTTGTGATACCGGAGACTGGTACCGCCGTCGGAAAAGGCCGAGAAATTAGAAGAGAGGGAGGGGGGAACATCGGGGGCGGCGGCGAAGCGGAGAGAAGAGGGGATAAGGGAGGGAGAAGCCAGGGCAGCCATTTATCTTCTCTTAACAACAAATAATCAAGCTATCAAAAGCGGGGAAGCTTGGCAATGGTCATTCTTCTTCACCAGGAAGCCACTTCGCTTTTCTCTGATTTGTTTTCCCAAAGTCTTGAGAGATTTGTGGTGCCAACCTCGCTCACGTGGATTCCTTTTTTTTTCCATTGTTTTTCTTCATGGCTCATTTGGGCCCTAATGTATTACTATTTTTTACCGGTTTTTCAAAATAACAATACGTAAATACAGATAGATTTTTAAAAAACGAACAAGAACCAAATTCTCCTTAGCAGCCATCATACGGTGTATTGGTCGCTTTTCGTATAAAGTAATGGTGAGAACCCAAGTCTCAGGGTAGCACAATTCGTCTCCGACACCAACATCAGTTCAAAATTATACAGCACTATACCCGAAACACATTCTTCATATCCCAAATTACTGCGCCTGAGTAACAGACAAACAGCAGCACCAAATATAATATTTAAAAATAAAATAAAAAGATGTTGTTGTTGTTTTGACTGACTACACAGCAAATACAATCCAAAGCATTTCTGTTTTTGTAGTTTAGATATCTCCTCTACTAGCGTTTATTGCCTTCTCTTCCTGCCGATTTTCTCTTGCACAGCTTTTTTAGAAGACATCCGGATTGAATCTTTCCGGCATGGAGTTGCCATGTTCCACTTGCTGCAGATGCATTCTCAACGCGTAGTTGTTCACCTGCATTTTCAACTTCTATATCATTCATTCACATCTTTTTTTTTCAGCAATCTGACAAGAGTTCAAATTTCTCAGATTATAATCTGACCTCATGTGCATGTTCTAACAAACTATTAAAAATCTGGAGGTTAGTGTGTATCTCTATGGTTTTAAGGATTTTACCTCCAGAGTTCTGAGCTTTTCCTGGTACTGAGGAATCAGGTGTTTCAAAAGTTCTAGCTGCTGGTTTGCATCGTCGAATGCCTTCTGCCGCTCATGCTGGATAGCAACAGCACGTTTGAGGACTGTGTTGTCCTTGATCAAGGCCTCCAATTGTTGCTGCACTGCCACATTCTCCTGCAAAATCACATTTTGATACAAGAGATTACATCAAATAATCCTAAGAATTCACTTACTATTTGATAACTTTCTTTCCTCGATTGAACAACACACACTCATAATCTAATAAATATTGTAGTTTTGACAGAACAAATGGACGATGGTTTTCCTTTTCCTGAGTACTATAGTACAAGAGCTGTGTTTAGAGCTAACAAATGGTAGTCCTATCACATCGTGTGAAGCTGCATAAGATATCAATAATGGTTCAAACCATGTCTTTACACCAACCGTGATCTCGAAATTGCCTAAATACGATCACTACAAATGGTCCATACCACAGCCTGACACACAAAAAAGAAACTAAGCGGATACAATGCTGCTAAATGCTTTACCTCTTGGAATTTTTTTCCTGCTTCCTCGACAGCACGTGCACTTATCATCTTCTCTAAAGCCTCCAGGACTCTTGCTGCTCGGGCTTTTGCAACATCTGCACCAGTAGATTGGGTCACCTCCCTCACTAACAATTCAACCCAGTCATCGCCACTCGTCGGGGGAGGATTGTCTGAAGCCGTAAGAGTTTCACCAGCAACGGCATCAGTTTCCGCATTAGCATCTCCTGAGGCCAATTCTTCGGCTTCCTTCACCTCAGCGGATACCAAGGAGTATACGCTTTTCATAGCAGCATTTAAATCACTCCCATGTTCTTCTAGTGCCTTCACAAGAACCTGAAAACAGATAAACCAATCCAAACACTAAGTTTCCCCAATACAAGAAAACCTATCCACTGTAAACGTCAAGATTGTATGAAGAATACATTTGCCAACCACTTAAGCCAATCACCTACAGAACCTGTGCAACTCAATTCGATGCCGCAAAACTCAATTTCACACGAGGTGAAGAAAAAGATAGATACGTAACTCGCGTTTCGGTCGGAGATGCTGGTACTAGAAGCGCAAACGGCAAAGATAGATCTTTTGCGGCCTGCTAAGTCCGACAAAGACATAAAAGACAAAAAATAGAACAAGACATACCGTCAGTTCGAGGTGAGGAAACGCAGTGCGAAGCTGATCGAGCGATGAGGAGGGAGAGGGCCAGCTTGGAGAATTCGAAGGCGAATAACATCGGAACCTCTTTGCAGACGGCGGAGAAGGAATATCTTCGAAGAAAGATCTCTTACTTCCGCAGTATACGGCAGACATGGCTGGAAAACCAAAAGAATTGACGGATGATTCGATCCGAATAATGCCCCCTGATCTCAATAAGCCAAACAAAAATAAATAATTTAGGGTTTGGAAGACGGAGAAGAGGACGATTCCGACGAATGAACTGGTCGATCGAGATTCGGGAAGAGCGTACAGGTTTCCTATCGCCTATCGGGTTTAGGTTTTCTTTGACTTGAGGCCAGGCCTTACCGTTTTATACACACCTTTAAGCGGCAGGGGCTCTTTCGTACTTTCCTATTCTACTTGCATTGGCGCGTAGCGCGTGAAACTGCAGCCAACGTTTTTTTTTTTTTTTTACATTACTATTTGTGATCGAATAATTCTCCCACATGGAATAGTGGGCTAACCACAAAAAAAAAAAAAAAAAAAAAAGATAACAGTTTGTGTTATTCCTCAATGTGTACATTGGTTTCTAAATCTTTATACGATTTGGAAATTTTTGTAGAATAAAATGATTTCCAAAACTAATATGTTTAATCTTTCATTTTTGGGCATTTTTAACACTTCTAATCCAAAAGGCATGTCAAACTAGGAAATATCCCCAAAATAAACAATGTTGAAACAATAAATGAACAGTGGCGAGCTATGTACATATAGAGTAGCTTGTTACTAGCATGAATCACTCAAAATGGAGTCTAATAAGACTTCAATAATCTTTAGTTACATAAATCGATTAAACGGGCTATATTATTCCCATAATCGTTGATGTTACATCTAGTTCGAACTTGGAAATATGGATGGGAACGAGGACCAAATAGAAAAGGCTTAAATGGTTAACCCATCAAAGTGGCTAGGTTCCACCAAAACGTACAATGGCTTTCCCTTCAGCCTACACTGTCCCTAACATATCACATAAGGCCAGTAAAATATCAGATACAAAATTGGTTCTAATGTGATAATACTATAGTTGTAGTTATGTTTACCTTGAATCTAGGCAAACCAACAAGGCAGGCACATTCCACAACTTCGGCTCCAGCACGCGCTAAAATGCATATAATTAGGTCATTTTAATTAAATACTTAACTAGATTTTATCCGTGCATCCGCATGAGAATTTTTTTTAATCAAAATTTGTAATGTATTTTTTTAAATATAATTTTTTAATAAATGTCAAAGATTTATTTTTATGTTTAGATATAATTTGTTTTTTTTTAGTATTATTATGACCACAATTATAAAAACATAATTCTAACCCGATCATTCTATTAATCAAAATATGAACATTATTATAAAAATATATTTATAATTCACTCATTTTATTAATCCCAAAAAACCGTGGTTATAAAACCATAATTCTAATCCGTCCGTTCATATTACTATATAATATAAATATTTACTAATTTTGAAATAATATTTATATTAATATATTATATATTTTGATAAACTAACCCGCACAAGACTACAATTATAAAAATAACATAACCTGTTCCATCAAATTATCATATAATATTAATATTTATCTGTTTTCAATATGTAAAATTTTAGTCTGATTGAATATGATTAAAAAATAAGGTATTAATTAATTATATTTGTTATCCTGAAAATATTATTTGGATTTAAATGTTAAATTAAATCTGACCTATATTTAAGGAAACCTAAAGTAATTTAAATTAATATTTATTTTTAAAATTAATGTTATTACAAAAAATAGTTTGAATTTAAAATTAAATATAACATATATTTAAGGAAATTTTTAGTTATCTTAATTAATATCTAATTTTCGGAATTAAATTTTTATATAAAAAAAATGTGTGTTTTTAAAATAATATTGCAATAAATTAGGATAATTTTAAAACTGTTTATTTAAAAAATTAAAAAACTTTGAGTATTTGGAAGCAAGTACTAAAAGTGCTTCTGTTTTAATATAATATATATAATGTACGTTTTATCTCTATTCTAAGGCGTATTTAACATTAGTATTCGTTTTTTATGTATTTTTTGTAAAGCTAAAGTAAAAAAGATGTACTTACCCAAAGGCTAATGGAAGCAGAGAGCGTGGCACCAGTGGCAACTAAATCGTCGATGACAAGAGCGCGTTCGTAGGATTTGACGGCCTCCATACTCATCTCTAGACGATCACTCCCATACTCAAGCTCGTACTCTTCGCTTATCACCCTCCCTTTTTTTTAACACCACAACAAGCAATAATTTATATTCTTCAACCATATAATATATTTTTATATATACTCCAACAATACGGTTTTAATCTGGATATATATATATATATAGATAAGTAATTGTCGTACCATGTAATTTTCCCGGTTTACGTATGGGAATGAACTTGGCACCTATGGCTAATGCGATGGGAGATCCAAATATGAATCCTCTCGCCTCTACGCCTGCACTGACAATTCCCATTTTATTTTGTTCTTATTCATCTGTTTCTATATGTAATCTGCGAAATCGATTTTAAACGTTTCTAACTCAATTATTAATAGGGTTAGACTCCAAAAATATCTATATATTTATATAGAGGCATTTTCAAGGCGGACTCACAAGCGATAACAATAACAAAGACGTATTTTTATTTTCTGAACATTAATAATTAAGACATTTAAAAGGATAAGTAATTACTAATTAGTCACCAACCACGCTAGCAAAACTGCAAAACTAGTATGCAATATGAGTGTACAATTATTAATCCATAGAAGATGTCTATTAATTATTTATTAATTATTTCCCATATTGGGAGATATGATTCCGCTTCGGATTCTTTCATAAAGGAGTTTGATACAATTCAATATATCGTATTAGAAAATAAAAATACGCTGCGGTTCGAGATGGCTGGATATCGTAAAAACTAGCAATTAGTAGACAATACTAGAACTAAAAAATCTCTTATCGATTTTTTCTTTCTCCTTTGCCACCCGGTTTTGTGCGTTTGTAAGTTTGTCTATGGCAAAGACTAAATAGTGGCTTAAGATAGAAAAGAGAGAAAAAAAAGCTGAAAGAGGGGAAAGAAAGTGAAAGGAACCGGCAACGAGGGAGATGTTCATGTGCTTGTAACGATCGACGAAGATATCAACGACATGTTTGAAAGCAACTGGATCCAGCAACAGCATCGTAATGTCCTGAAACATGATTCCTGCAACACAAAGGCGCTGTGTAACTTAAATTTGTGAAGAAAAAAATAAAAGATCGAAATTGATGATGAAGTAGTCGAAGAAAGAAAGAAGGAAAGGACCAGTCTTGGGGAAGTGCGGGATGACTCGAATGGCGTCGGAGATGGCCTGTGGTCTTGGGTCTCCTGCAACCCATTCTCCACCGCAAACATCTCTCTCTTTCACTTTCACACTCGTGCGTGTGTGTGTGTCGAAGAAGAAGCGAGAAAGGTGGTAAGTGTATTTAGGCCATCTCCATCCCTGAACCTCATCATGAGGTTCTTGAGAATATTTAATTAATAATTTTTGATGTCTGAATAGTTAAGAACCTCATAACTTTTTTTTAATCCAACCCTGAACTCCATCACTTTTTTCTTTACAAACTAACTTGATAACAAATGAAGATAAAAGTGTGTAAGGAAAAAAAATGTGTTTACACTGTCATTCTTTTCCTCTGCAATGCCTTCTTCATTATTTACAAGCTTTCTTTGACCATATCCAACACCCAAGGAGCAATACGTGATGGAGTTAGTGACAATCATGTCCTCCTTTTTCAATCTTGTAGCGTCAAAGCAATGTATCTGCAGATACATGTTTTTAAGTTACACATTGTTAGTTTCAGAACAAACAAATCACGTTAACAAAATCAGACACAATGTGACAACTTCAAACCTGAGAAGCAAACTTTCAAAGCCTGAGGTGTGAGAACAGAAAATCGACTTGGAAAAAGCTCCACGAAAACGACCTGCAATCATCAGCCAACAGAGAAAGAGATATAAAAACAGAGAAAGATTAAAACAACTATCAAATGCACGTGAATGCTAATATGTTATAGACTCATCAAGCAAATCCAATGTGTTAACCATTTTCCATGCTTGTTTTCTAGCAGCACGCAGTTTCTCTAGAAGATTATCCACTCTGTTAGTAACATCCTCTACTTTCACCTTCAGATTAAACCAAATAACAAGAGGTTATGGCAAAAGTAACAACAACTACCTTAAATTATGTTATACGATGGAGACATTTTTTTTATCTATCTAGGTAGCTTGTTTTTTTATCAGTTACACACATCTTCAAACATGGAAAAGAAAACACTCTAAAAGTAGAATACCTTGAGAGTCGAGCATCGACGTTTCATTTGAGAATCCCGTGAGTTTATGTATTCAAAAAAATGCTTCACCTGCAACCGCTTCGATACGCCTGATTCCAGATGCAATCCCCTGTTCCGATATTATCTTGAATGCTAGTATTTCTGCAGTCTGACTTCGGACCCCTGGTGTGCGACGGGTGTACCAAATCGCAAACTTGTACTGCACATTCCCAAAATATGAAAAACTAGATCCACTTAGCCATTAAAGTGGTAACAATGATATCATTTTTCTTACACTTAAATGATTTAATCGCTAGAAAATGGATAATTAGAGCAGAATTCAATAGCGTTCGAGCTCACATACATTAAAACAAAGTCGCAAAACCTAAGTTTACAATAAAAATTTCCAGAAATGAAGATTTCAATTCTGAATCTTCCACTAACTCGGCTCTAAGCCGTCATATATAAAGTTCCCAATCTTCGCCGCACCAGGAGCAAAGTTTCAGCTAAGATTAGATTCGAATTTAATAGTCTAATCGATACGAAGGGTAGAGGACAAACCCGTAGAGGATGCAGACCAGCCTTGAGCTCGCGAGAGTGGCGTTCATCGGCAAAAGAGTCGGTAACATACTGCGACTTAATGCTGTCCATGTTTCCGGATTCTCCACCTTCCCTGATCTCCTCGTCCCTCCTATCCGTAATCTCCATTGCCGATTTCGTCTCATACATGAACCGAAGAACAAACTCGCGTTTTCTGTACTTGGTCGAGAGAAATGGCCTTAAAAAAAACTAACCCCACATTTCTCCATGGCCGAATCAAGATATGCCACGTATACGATGCTACAGTGATGATACGGGTTCATCAGTATCACTGCAGTGATACCGTATCATCGGGTTTGAGCCTTTTTTTTAATTTTTAAACCCAACAAAATCATGCGGGCCCACCTATAATCCTCCCTTCATACCGCGATGGAGATGCCCTTATAGCATTTATTTATTTATCACTATTCCCTTCTCTCTCCACGCACATTTCCTTTACCTACTCATCGTGGTCATATCCGCTATGTAATTCAAGGTATCGGTATTTCTCGTTGTGATTTCATGATTTTAAAATTTTCTATCATAATTGACTATATATTCTGGATATTTCAAATGACAAACAACAAAAATTGAATTCTTTCATGGTTGTCATAAAATATGGCATAATCTTATATATAAAAGTTGCTCAACTTTCTCCATAAGCTTGACACATCAGCATTGGAGAGGCTGACACATGTCACTTAAATTTTAATTAATAAATTTTAATATTAAATTTTAAAGCACTTAAAGAATATGAAAAATTTGTTTTATTAACTGACTCATAATTAACATTTATATTAATGTTAAACAAACATTTATGTTATAACTGATTAAAAATATTAATTGATATGTATTTAATTTTTATATAACTGTATATTACTTAATAATATTCCAGATGTATTTTAAATTAATTTTTTAAAATTATTTATAATAAAATATTAACAAGTAACAAATGAAATGATGATTATTTATTTTAAATTTTATTAATTAATTATTAATTAATATTTGTGTAAATGTTAAACAAAAATTTATGTTATAACTAATTAAAAATATTGAATGATACTTATTAATTTTAATATAACTTTAAATTATTAAATAATATTCAATATGTATTTTAAATTAATATTTTAAAAATTTTAGAATACAATATTAACAAGTAAGTAAGTAACAAGTGATGACTATATTAATTTTTATAAAATTATATAAAAAAAAATTTAAAAAAAATTGAAAAGAAAAACCCGCACGTAACGTGCGAGTATTCACCTAGTAGTATTAAAACGTAAAGTTTATAGTTTTCTTTCAATGTAATGAGTAAAAGGCACGAATCCCACATCTTTCTGTCTTTATTACATAATCAAATGATAACTCAAGGATTCCACCTCATTGCGTTTTTATAGATTTTTGAAAGACAACTCAAGTTACCATATAGATAATGTTTATTTACATGTTGAAAAAAATAAAATATAAATAGCAATTCCAAAATTTACATAATCTTTATAATCTAAATTTTGTATTTAGCCCATTTTCACATCTATTATTACTATTCAAACATTTGTTCCATATAATTTGTTATATATTTTACTATTTACCCCACTAGTTTCATTTGTTCTGTAGAATTTGTCACATCTGATATGTTTTTACCATTTGAACCATAAGAAAAGATTATCGTCAAGAAGAGCAATTACTACTTCTCTCTACATGTGGAATCTTCATACAAAATAATTGCAACTTGCCACGGTAATGGCTATGACTATTGGCACATAAACTATGGCCCAATTCTCATAATCAAAGCCAAAGGCCCTTCAATGACTCGAGTTTATTCGGCGTGTTTGGATAACCGCCCACGCATCTTTTCGACACCGCCTGATGATTTTTTTTCCTTATTATTACTAAGCTGTAAAAAAAAAAAAAACATTACTGCTTCTCTCTGCTGATATAAGGCTATAAGGCCAACGAAAAAAGAAGCGACTCACCCGAAAACTGTTTTTAGGGTTTTTCTTTACTCGATTAAGCTCACTAGTTCTTCACAAGGTAGACAGAGATACACTCTAGCGTCGAGGATCTAGGGTTTGTTCTTCGGCCACTCCGTCTGGCGTTTGGATTTGAAGTCCTAAGCCATGTGGAACAACAACGATGGTATGCCCTTAGCTCCTCCTGGTACCGGCGGCTCGGTGATGCCTCCACCGCCCGCTGCACATCCTTCTTACACGGCTCTTCCGCCGCCTTCTAATCCGACTCCTCCGGTGGAGCCTACTCCTGAGGAGGCGGAGGCAAAGCTTGAGGAAAAGGCCCGCAAATGGATGCAGCTAAACTCGAAACGGTACGGCGACAAGAGGAAGTTTGGATTCGTGGAAACTCAAAAGGAGGACATGCCACCTGAGCACGTCAGGAAGATCATCAGGCGAGTTTTCTTCACTTTGAATGATGTCTTTGCTCGAGGTTTTCGATATCCAATTAACTCGAGATTATTTTCTGCTCCTGCTTGGGAAACGACACCCATTTTCTATTATTATTAGTTACGATTTACGTGGATTGAGACTGAATCTGCGATTTCTTTGTTCAGGGATCATGGTGATATGTCATCGAAGAAATATCGTCACGACAAACGTGTATACCTTGGAGCCCTTAAATTCGTCCCTCACGCAGTTTTCAAGCTCCTGGAGAATATGCCTATGCCCTGGGAGCAGGTACTCTTTTAGTTTAACTGGTATCTGCTTAGCTTCAGCTGTTCTCGTCGTCTGTTCATTTATCTGAGTCCCCATTTTCTTCCAGGTTCGAGATGTCAAGGTTTTGTACCACATCACCGGAGCTATCACATTTGTGAACGAGATTCCATGGGTTGTAGAACCTATTTACATGGCTCAGGTGGGTTAATAGTCTCCCTCTTTTCTTGTGTCTGTGCATTGATGGATTCCCTACACATATTTTTAAGTATTCTGTCTGGTTTTTCAGTGGGGTACTATGTGGATTATGATGCGAAGGGAGAAGAGGGATCGTCGTCATTTCAAGAGAATGCGGTTTCCGCCATTTGATGACGAGGAGCCTCCACTAGACTATGCAGACAACTTGCTGGACGTGGATCCTCTAGAGCCAATTCAGTTAGAGCTAGATGAGGAAGAAGATTCTGCTGTATGTACTTGGTTTTACGACCACAAGCCACTAGTTAAAACCAAACTGATTAATGGTCCCAGTTATCGGAGGTGGAATCTCTCACTTCCAATTATGGCAACCCTTCACAGGCTTGCAGGCCAGTTGCTTTCTGATTTAATTGACCGCAACTACTTCTACTTGTTTGACATGCCATCTTTCTTCACAGCAAAGGCTCTGAACATGTGCATTCCTGGTACGCTAGTTTCTTCTATTCTCCAGTTGTGATATTTTTGTTTCAGTTACCTTTCTTCTGTTCTTCTTCTAATGCATTTTGGTACTGTTTTCCAGGTGGTCCTAAGTTTGAACCTTTGTACCGTGATATGGAGAAAGGAGATGAGGACTGGAATGAGTTTA